TGTATATGTACAGAGAAGAAATAGTAATGTTTAACTCGTAAAAAAATAACAAAAATAGCTCATTGAATGCCACTTGATTGACTCGTTTTCAGGCTAGAATCATAGAGTCCTGCGCTGGTGAATTTCCTTCTCTTGACGGACTGTAAATAACATACAAAGACGGATGAAGATGCGAAGGTTTTCTGTGAAGAATTTTCATTTAGAAACGCATACCCAATTTAACAGAAATTCACATACGTCAATCTGTACTTAATACGGCATTTATATTAAAACTTTTTAACGGGTTAACTTGCTTTGTGAGGATTTATTTGACATATATTCAAAGGAATTGAAAATTTAAACCCACTCAGTTAACCAAATCCGGTTCAATGTAAACGACCTTTAATTCAGTAGCCTGTGCAAAATTTTGTCTTAATCGGACAAACCTTGGAGTTTGGTGCACTATTTACACAAAATCGGACAAAAATATTTATGGGAGCTATATCTATATATGAACCAATTTTAACAAAAATCACACAGGTCAATTTGTACTTAATTCAGTACGAAGTGCAAAATTTTGTCTCAATCGGACAAACATTGTGACTTAAGTGAACTATTTGTGGAATTTCTGACAGACGAGAGTTTCTGCATTTATGAACCAGTTTTTTGTTTCAAAACTATTGTTTGTCTGTGTGTAGGAAGAAAATATTGACATTTGTTTACTATATTTTTTAGGATTACATCTTTTTTAAAGGAAATTATTCAAATTGTATTTCTAATTTTTATTTTGGCTTTTAATAAATGTGAATTGTTTCATATTGAAATTGCTTAATTCAGTATTATATATTATATAACAACATTAGGCTATTAAGTGAACTATTATACGAAAGGAAATTATTCAAATTGTACTGGCTTTTAATAAAATGTGAATTGTTTCATTTCGATTCTATTTTTTATATATTATCTAATAAAATTTTTATTCCTGAAATTTGAAAAATCATCTCTTTCATAGAACTGTTAAACGGCATATACATTAGAACTTTTTACCGGGTTAACCTACTTTATGAGGATTTATTTGACACATATTCAAAGGAATAGACAATTGAAACCCACTGGGTTAACGAAATCCCGATAAATGTAAACGTACTATTACAGAAATAATAATTAATATCTTTACCGAATTTACCAATCTGATCGGGAATACCGAATATTGAAGCGGCATAGGACACTAAGTTTAAACTATGGCAAATTTATGCATTCGTAACCACAGCGGGCTATGGCGATTTATTTCATATTGTATGTTTAAGAACTTATAATACTTTTATGTCCGTATAATTTGATATAATTTAGTGAAATGGTGATATAATTTAGTGAAATAAGTGAGTGCTAAAGTTTATCTCATTCGAATTATAAATGCGACTTGTACATTGTTTGCAATTTAATATGAACAAACGGACACACCACAGTGTGGTGAAAAGTATAAACATATCTTTATCTTATACCAAAGACAGACGACAGCCATGGTATAATTATAAAAGGTAACAGCAAGTGTTGTTGTACAAAAAACGATACAACAACCACATGGAAATTTGTTGTTGTAAGTTCTACTAGTGTCAACTCATTTGACAGAAAAATGTAAACAAACGAACAAATTATCATCAAATTATTTTTATTTTGAAAATGGAATATTTTCGAATCCTCAAAATAAAAATTGAAAAACATGAATGAACATTTATCAAATTTATATTTCTATCGCTTCCACACCTTTCCTTTAATTGAGCTATTGCCATATACAGTATTTTTCGGTTAATTGACCCTACGGTTAATTGGTTTCCACGCTTAATTGAACCACATGATGGGTCAAAAATATTTCATTTCATAGTAAGCGGGTTCGGATAATTGGTTCCTCGGTTAATTGAACAAAAATTTGTGCAAATTTTGATGTGCAATTAACCGAAAAATACTGTATATGTGTAACACATATGACAAAGCATGGGAATAGCGAGTTATTCCTTCAAGAAAGATTTGCTTCCTCAAACTTTCCCAGCAGGCAGATTAAGTAAATTGAATACGGGAGCAAATTAACAAAGAACAATTTCAAATTGTATGCGTTCCCAATTTTCCAGTTGGGTGATTTTTAAAAACATAATTTGTCAAATTCATATTGACACTAGTATTACGTTGGAATCAAATCAGCTGGGATTTGCTGTTACCTTTTATAATTGTACCATGGACGACAGCCTTAATTTGCATTAAATAGTTCTTAATTTGAATTAATATTTACCCCTGACAGACGAGAGTTTCTGTATTTATGAACCAGTTTGTTTGTTTCAAAACTATTGTTTGTCTGTGTGTAGGAAGAAATATTGACATTTTTACAATATTTTTTAGGATTACATCTTTATGAAAACGATACACGACAGACAGGATGATAAAACAGCGGCCAACTCGAGGGAATTTTGTATTTTGCCTTTATTTCTAATTTCTTTTTTCAAAAACGTAAACAAATTTGACAATAATCAATTTATTTTCTACAGCATTGCCATATTGAAATTGTTTAATTCAGTATAAATTCAGTTTGATTTTGTGCATTTACAACACATAAAAATGAGGATAATGTACAAATTAATTTGAATTAAGGCTGCTAATGCAAATTAAGGCTGTCGTCTGTCTAGGCTATTAGCGAGCTAAACAAAATCGAGAAATAAACTTGAAAAATTATAAAATGTGCCTAATTATTTAATTTTCTTATTGAAAAATTCATATTTCCTTTATGTTCTGCTTATTTTTTTTAACAAATGAAAAAAATACGTTCAATCCATGGTACAATAATACAAGGTAGGGCAGCTTGAGGTGAATAAAAAAAGCAACTATGCACGTGTAGCTTCCTTTGCCAAAAATAAAATAAATATACGCAACAAGTGTTTGTGTTTATTTGACATTTTTTCAACACAAAACTAAAAACGCGAAAAATTAATGAAAGATTATGATTTCTTTCCAATATCCAGTAGGGAATACCATCAAGTGTTTGTTTCATCCATAACAAAGTAATTAAACTCCTTGTACATTAGAACTTTTTACCGGGTTAACCTACTTTATGAGGATTTATTTGACGTATATGCAAAGGAATTGACAATTGAAACCCACTGGGTTAACGAAATCCGGTTAAATGTAAACGTACTATTACTTCCAGACGAACGTGTTAAAAACATAATTTTCATTTCAATTGAATTGAATTGGAATATATTTCAATTTATTTTGAATTTTATTGAATTTATTTGACATTGTATTCAAAACAATACACATACATACACAAAATATGTATTTTGATTTGATGGAACAAGCCACCTTTAGAAAAAATTGTAATCAGTTGGTAGCTGTGCCCTACCTTGTAATAATTATACCATGGCTCTGTGATAGTTGAATTTTTTGAAAAGTCGTACGTCGACGTATTTCGGTAACATTCATATAAATACATGTGTTCTACTTTTGTGGTGAAAAACGTCGAACGAGCTAGTTGAATTTTAGGTAGGTCTCATGATGTAATAATAAGGTGATGTATCAAAACAAAAACATTTGTTTTTGTCTCGATTATCTATAAAATTTTTCCATATAATATTTAACATGGTTGGCAACATTGCACATCGAATACAAGTAGAAATTATTCACTTTGACAGTTAATCGAGACATCAGCTGCTCTAAATGGACTACCTATTCATTGTGCCATGAATAAGGTGATGTATCAAAACAAAAAAACATTTCTTTTTGTCTCGATTATCTGTCAAATTTTTCCATATAATATTTAACATGGTTGGCAACTCTGCACATCGAATTCATGTAAAAAAATACCCACTTTGACAGTTAATCAAGACATCAGCTCCGCTAAATGGACTACCTATTAATTGTACCATGGTAGGGCTGTTAGAAGTGATAACAAAAATCATATCGTGTGTAGCCACCTTTACAAGCATTATCAAAACCTTTTGCGTCAAGCATCAAAGTTGACAGTTTGAAATCATATGGTAGGGGTTACCAATATATTTAAAATAAGGTTATAAACATATATTTAAACGACATGTACATTATAACTTTTTGCAAGGCTATCCTAATTTATGGGGATTTATTTGTAATGGCATTGACAATAAAAACACCCTGGGTTAACTTAATCCGGAGCAATGTAAACCTACTATTATCATTATAAATTCCGGTAAGTCCGCTTTTCCACAGGCAGATTTTTATTTGGCAAATTTTTTGTTTTCTCTTTTGAAATTTTCGCTTGCTTTTCCATTAGCAAATTTTTCTTTGCCAAATTTGCGAATCAAAATACAAAAGAATAAAAAAACACAAAAGGGTTTGCATTTTAAAGATTTATTTAATATTTTATTTATTTTTTATATATTTTATTATATAAATTGCAAAAATTAAAAATTAAATTTCACTTGCACAAATTAAAGCAACAGGTTTGTAAACAAAAGCCGGCTGTGTGTCAGTAAAGCGAATATGTTCAAAAGGAAGTGTCAACAAAATTGTTTTCAACGAACAGAGCAAAGCAGAACTTGCGTGTACCGCAAGTTCTAAACAGGCAAATTTTTGTTTTTCTTCCTCGCACCCCTCTCGCCTACAAACTCAGTATTTGCCAAATAAAAATTTGCCTGGGGAAAAGCAGACTAACACGTCATATAACAATTAATCTTTCATTAGCAGTGATAACAAAAATTTATATGGGGGGTAGCCACCTTTACAAGCATTGTCAAACCCTTTTGCGTCAATCACCAATGTTGAGAGTTTGAAATCATATGGTAGGGGTTGCCAATGTATTTAAAAACATAAAATATGTTTTTGTTAATTTTTACGTAAATGTTTAAAAAACGTAAACAAAACATTTTATTTATTGGTATTTTTATTAATTAAAAATCCTATTTTGGATTTACGGGGATTTTCTATTTAACGAACAAACCCTAAGAAATATTTATTCGTAATTAATTTTAAAATAAATTAATGCGGATTCCATTATTTAGAATATGCTGAAAACCGTATTGATTAACACATCAAAGGTAGGCATTACATTCAAATAGAAAACAATCAGAGTATTAAGAGAGACATGTCTTTTAGCGTTTGCTTTCCAGCAAAGTAACACCACATCAAGAGGCGCTCATGGCCAGAGGATTGCCCAAAAAGCAACCCCTACCCGGAGTTACAAATATTGTGATTGTTGCATCGGGTAAAGGTGGTGTGGGTAAATCTACAGTTGCGGTAAATTTGGCCGTATCACTGGCGAATCTGGGCAAACGTGTTGGTCTATTAGATGGGGACATATTCGGACCGTCTATACCTCTTATGATGAATGTACATGAAGAGCCGTTGGTAGATGAAAAAAATCTTATTATACCACCGATTAATTATGGTGTCAAATGTCTATCGATGGGTATGTTAACCCATCAAGGTGATGCCGTAATATGGAGAGGCCCGCTAGTTATGTCAGCTCTGCAACGTTTACTAAAGGGTGCCCTTTGGGGACCATTAGATGTCTTAATAGTTGATACACCACCGGGTACGGGCGACGTGCACTTATCCTTAGCACAAAACGTACCAATTTCCGGTGTGCTTCTAGTGAGTACACCACAAACTGCGGCCTTAGAGGTAACCCAACGAGGTGCACAAATGTACAAAACCTTGGGTATACCAATATTTGGTTTGGCCGAAAATATGGGCCACGCCATTTGTGGCAATTGTCAACATAAAATGGAAATATTTAAAAATACAACACAGAAATATACCAAAGAAATGGGCACTAAGGTGTTGGCTACCATACCTCTTGATGGTAATATAACCGATTGCTGTGATAATGGAATTCCGATGGTCCTCAAATACAAAGATAGTGAATATGCCAAAAGTTTTAAATCGTTAGCTATGAATATTTTAGAAAAACTGAAAGTGACCGAAGAAGAAAATACGTAAAATAAAGTTGTTTGTTTTTTGTTATAAACAAATTAAACTGGTTTTATTTATTAGAAAAAATATTTTTCTAATAAAATTTTTCATATACAGAAATGTGCTCCTTGCTTGGTATTAGAAAAATATAAAAAAATAGAAATAAAAAAATAAAAATTAAACTTACGTCTAGTGTGGTATTAATTTTTTTTCATTTTATTTAAATACAAACCTCGTTTCGTATTAAAAAAAATAATTTAAAAAAAAAAATTCAAAACTAGTTTGGTACTTGAAAATAATTCAAAAAATCGTTTGATACATGTTTTTTTCTACACAGTTTCGTACTAGAAAAATATTTTCAAAAAATTACATTACAAATTCTAGCTGATTCCCTTTTAATGTCTCAGGTTTTATATGGGCTTGAAGTATATTCTGTGACAATTGCTTTTAATATGGAAAGAGTAAAAAGGATTGTAAATTCTATAACGCGGTTTGTCTATAATCTCAGGCGAGATAGTCATGTGTCACGATATGTTAAGCTGTTTCTAGGGTGTTCCTTTGACATGTTTGTTAAATATCGTTGCTTATTCCTTTTTTATAAAATAATTAAAAATGATTCCCCCGTATCCTTGAGAATTTTATTTTCCTTTTCAATTTCTTCTAGGAACCCACAGGTCTTCATTCCTAGAATCTATAAGATCTTTTTTGGTTAGAGTTGCGAGATGTTGGAATACCCTTCCACTTGAATTACGTGTTTTTTCACATAGTAACAATGTTTTCCGTTTAAAAGTTCTATGTCATTTTGACAATTCCCTACAATAATGTGTGGATATTCTTATACATGTGCTGCTTATTGGATATATGTATGTTTAAATCTATATTTGTTTTTATGGCTGGGGAGCCTTCATTCTATTTTTATCAAAGGAAAATTAGTTATATTTATTTAAGTTTAATATATAATGTATCTCAGGCTATGTATATTTGTCAGCAGATACACGTATTAATGGCCTTAAGGCTTTGTATCAAAAATGAATTTGAAAATAAAATAAATAAAATGTACTCCTAAAATATTTTTCAAAAAAGCTTGAATTTTTTGAAATTACAAATAGAATCAATCATAATTTTGAATTAGAAAATTTTCAAAAACATTAGGCCTTGTTTTGGTACTAACAAAATATTTTCTCACAGTTCATGCAAACTTTGGTATAAGAACAACTATTTTCGCACTCAAAAAAAAATATATATTTTTTTTTTCAAAAATTCAAAATGTAAAAAATCACAAAAATCAGCGCTAAGCATGCCGCTTCTTAAAAATGCATTCAAAACTAGGGCTTAAGTCTAGTTTAGGGGCTCCACCCGGATCGCTTTGATCCGTAAGTAGTCCTCGTTGTGCTGATTACAGTGATATATATTTTATTTGGGGGAAATGCATACTTCCCGAGATATGGGCCTTGAAAGTTTGGAATATACCTTGGTTAAAACGGCCGTTTTACTAATGCCACCAAAGCAATATGGGTATCATTTTAAAGGGTTTGAATAGTGCTTTAAAAATAAATATAGTATATCATTGTAAATTATATAATATTAACTAAAATTGAAAGAAAAAACATTTGGATTGCGTAGCCATGTATGCGCCTGTCCATAGGTGAAAGTCTTAAGCCCCGGCCGAAGGCCGGCTACTTAAAAAACCTTGAATTTGATTTGAAAATTGCTCTTAAAAAAGGATTTGGATTGCGTAGCCATGTATGCGCCTGTCCATAGGTGAAAGTCTTAAGCCCCGGCCGAAGGCCGGCTACTTAGAAAACTTTGAATTTGATTTGAAAATTGCTTTTAAAAAAGGATTTGGATTGCGTAGCCATGTATGCGTCTGTCCATAGGTGAAAGTCTTAAGCCCCGGCCGAAGGCCGGCTACTTAAAAAACCTTAAATTTGATTTGAAAATTGCTCTTAAAAAAGGATTTGTATTGCGTAGCCATGTATGCGCATTCGTTGTAAGCTTTAAAATGATACCCATATTGCCGTTGTGGCATTACTAAAACGGCCGTTTTAATCAAGATATTCTCCGAACTTTCAAGGCCCATATCTCGGGAAGTATGCATTTCCCCCACATAAAATATATATCACTGTAATCAGCTCAACGAGGACTACTTACGGTAAAAATTTCAAAGCGATCCGAGTGGAGCCCCTAAACTAGACTTGTTCCAAAACTAGTTTGTCTAGAGTTTGTTCTTAATTTTTTTTTCAAATTGGTACAAAAAATGTGTCAATAAAAAAAAATATTCTCAAAATGTTGTAAAAATTATTTATTTTTCTTTAGTTTTTTCATTTTCTTCATCGCCTTACGTTGAGCATATTTTTGTTTCATCATCATGATTTCCTTATTTTTACGTTTAATATATTTCTGGGCCTCCGTATCGGCCAGTAGCTCATCCACCAATGTATGTTTCTTATTCTTGCGAACATCCCGTTCACTATAATAATCTAAAGCTGAATGTTGGACAGTACCAATCTAGGAACAAAGAAAAATATAAATACACAAATATTTAATACCCAAAATTCGAAAACATACCTGAAAATATTTCGGCAGAACTTTCAAATCATTCTTTTTATAGAAATGTTTCGGATCCAATACAGAACGCATTTGCAATATTTTCAAATCGTTTTGAATTTCTTCGGTCATCTCTGTGGCTGGCATGTTAAACCAATTCTTTCCTTTGGTCTTTGAGCGTTCAATCTATAAGGGGGGAAATGCGTACACATATGAGGTCAAATTTAAAATAAACTGGGGATATTCCTGTGGTGTTTTTCCATCAGATTACTAAAGATGTCATCAATATTGGCCCGGACAATATCTAAACGTTTAACATCATTGTTTTAAAAAGGTATGGATACGATGCTGTTTCATTGTTTCTATATATGTCAGCACCAAAATAAATTGTAGATTTGTAAACTCCCCAATCACAATAGTCTATTGGTGCTGTAGTTTTTTAGAATATACCGCTGGCCTTACAGCAATTGCTTAAAACTTTAACAACAATTACTAAGATTACAACGGCAGAAACATTTGATGCAATCACTATCCAACCCTATGCGAGTCTTGGATGTTTAAACGCCTCAAACAATACTATCCCGGCAACAAAACCAATTCCCTTGGAAATGGCTTATGATGTCGAATATGTCATCACACGGAATTAATAAAAAAATAAATTTCCAACCAACATACCCTATTCAATATCCTTTGTTTTTTCTCACTAACGCTTGGCAGTTCTTTCAATTGTTCTAAATTAGGAACCATTTCCGATTTGGCCATTTCCTTTTCTACATCGGTTTTGAATATTTGCGAATCATCTCTCTTTCCTGTAAATTCATTGAAATCCGAGTGATCCATATCCACCAGCTTCTTCAGTTTTGGCTTGGGTTCCGTTTTCTTGCGTGCCGCTTCATCTGACATGGATATGACATGATCCATTTCTTGTTCAACTTTGGTTGGTTTTCTACGGCTCACCGATAATGTGTTTTCAATAATTGAGGATATATCCACACTGGGTGGTGGAAGGCCTATGGAAAAACTAATAATTAATAAATATTACTTGAAATAAATTATTAAAAAAAACTTACCAAAGAAATCATATTCTTGTTTCTCCTCTTTCTCATCGTCGTCTTCATGCTTCAGTTCTTGGGCGAAGGCGCTTAAACTGGATGTTTTTGTCTCATTTAATACCTGACGCTGTTTGGCATTGAATTTTGGCGCAGTAATGCCTTCCGTTTTTAGCAGATCCTTGTTTCCGGATGTATCAACCACAAATAAAGACATTTTGTTTCATGCAGAATCCTTAAAAGAAAATAAAAACAAAGAAATTCCACCACAACGACATGTGGTAATTCGATAACATTTCATTTCGATAAATACTGTTTAGTTATCGTTTAGTTTTACAGAAGGTGTTGCTACCATGAGGACGTGTGACAATTGTGGCAAATGTTCCCGTGCTGTAAGAAAATACTAATTTTTCTATTTTTTGAATCCTAATCTCAAAATTCCAACTCAATTAAAAAGAGTACATATCTGGCTTTGGTCTGAACTAGGATTATTGACTTCGTTCAAAAATTGGGAAATTGGTGGTCCTATAGATTTGTTTTGGAAAATCTATTTTTTTGGACTACAAACCAAGGTGGAAAATAGTTCATACGGTACCTATCTCGGGGTTTACACATGCATATTTTTTTTAGCAACTCTGGTCTGAACTAGGATTATTGACTTCGTTCAAAAATTAGGAAATTGGAGGTCCTATAGATTTTTTTTTTTTTTTTGGAAAATCTATTTTTTTGGACTACAAACCAAGGTGGAAAATAGTTCATACGGTACCTATCTCGGGGTTTACACATGCATCTTTTTTTTAGCAACTCTGCTGCTGCTAGGATCACACTATACGTCGAACCTGTTAAACAGTACTCTCATATTAATGGCGCCTAAAAAACTCTACCTCCGGTGAGAATTTATTTGGCAAATATGTAATGAAATTGACTATTTAAATAAACTGGATTTTATAAATCCGGTAGAATGTTAACGTGCTACAAATGTCGCCTAATGCTGATTTGATACAGGAAAGAAAAAAAAAATTAAAAACCAGGTCGTTTTTTACTAAAAAATCACAAACTAGATAGTATATATTTTTTTTTAAATTACACACCTTTTTAGTTGAAAATAAGCATTTTTAATGTACACATAACGTGTATAAGGGTCTTTAATCATGTGTAGCATATGCAAGACAAATTTAGGCGCCTATGCATAATACAATTATAAAAGGTAACAGCAAATCCCAGCTGATTTGATTCCAACGTAATACTAGTGTCAATATGAATTTGACAAATTATGTTTTTAAAAATCACCCAACAGGAAAATTGGGAACACATACAATTTGAAATTGTTCTTTATTAAATGTGCTCCTGTATTCAATTTACTCAATCTGCCTGCTGGGAAAGTTTGAGGAAGCAAATCTTTATTCAAGGAATAACTCGCTATTCCCAGCATTTTCATATGTGTTACACATATATATGGCAATGGCTCAATTATAGGAAAGATGTGGAAGCGATAGAAATATAAATTTGATAGATTTTCATTCATGTTTTTCAATTTTTATTTTGAGGATTCGAAAATATTTCATTTTCAAAATAATTTGATGATAATTTGTTTATTTGTTTACATTTTTCTGTCAAATGAGTTGACACTAGTAGAACTTACAAAAACAAATTTCCATGTGGTTGTTGTATCGTTTTTTGTACAACAACACATGCTGTTACCTTCTATTATTATACCATGGCGCCTATGTTGTATTCATGCGCCCTCTGTTTGACATAAATCAAACTACTAATTCAGCAAGAAAAGAGAGCCCCCATTTTCCCTCTCTCACACCCCTTTATGATATCAATTAACAATGAATGCCAACAATAATATGTCATGTTTAGCCAAAAAAAAATTGACATTTCATTAAAGAAAATGAAAACGTGCTGCAGTGTCGTTAAATCACACGTTTACAATATACGAAAAAATAAACATTTATTTATAAAATAATACCAGAAAATTGCTGAGAATAGCAGAACAGTGCTAAAAAAACAAACTGAAAGAGAAATACATAAATAAGTTTATTGGTTTTGTAATGAATTAAAGTTTTTTTCGTTGCTGCACACCTATCGTTGAAACTGCGTAATTTTCCGGAAGAGGAGGAGAGGTGGTCGACGAAGAAGAGATAAACTCTCCTATTTTCCTCCAACAAAAACTGCTTATAAATTGTGTGTGCTCGTGTGTGAGGCGTTTTGGTCGGTTAAACGATTTTGTGAAATATTGCGGCTTTTTTACAACAACAAAAAAAGCTCATAGCTTTTTCGGAGAAAAAAGGTTTTATCAAATTTTGTAAATTCGCAATGGCTTTCAATTCAAATATGTCAGTTATAACCTCACGAACATCCTTGTCTTCAATATTGAAGACTTATACGCCGGCAGAAAGAGAGAAAACCAAAGCGGCGATTATGAATAAAGTTCGCTTTGAAATGCCCCGACAGAAGGGTATCCTGGAGGTGGTAAAGGCCGTCGAGGAAAGACAAAATTTCGAAGCAATGAATGAATTTGTTGCCTTCTTAACGGAAAATGATCTTGATGTGAGTATAAAAATAATAGAATTTAAAACATTTTATTAAATATGGGTTTCCAAAAAGAGGTGTTATTGCATTTTTTTGGGATAAATGATTGAAAGTTTTTTTTCGTAATAAATAAACAAGTGAAGCTCGTTCGGGCAGAATTTTGGATTCCCTCTACCTTAGGTACACTATCGAAAGTAGTAAATCACTACTCAAAACTCCAAATTGTGGACCGATATTGATAATGCATGTTAGGGTGGAACATTTGTCTAAAATCCTCAAAATACTGCTATTAATAGGGCTAAGTTGTATGTTGTCATACCAAAAAAGCCAACCAATGTTAAATACCTCTGATAGGAAATACCGAAAATCGGGAGGTGTCATATGGGCGTGATGCTATACAATTAATTTTCGAACCGAACCTTTTACATTTGTATCTTGACACCTTTCTCACTCTTAACAATTAAAATAATCGAAATATGTGGAGGGTTTTCGAAAATTTTAAGGTACCGTTATGTGGGGTCTACCCAAATAATTCGAAGAATATTGGAAATTTTTGATAGAATGATTTGGCACCCAATTCGAACCAAACATACCAAATTACAGGCAATTCGATCGACAAATTGGACCAAAATCTTCAAGATCCGAATATTTTGGGAGTATCGTTATGTGGGGCTTACCCCAAATTGTGGACAGAGATATTGATAATTTTTAGTAGAGAGCTTTCATATCAAATGATAATTCCAAAAAATCAAACTACAATCATTTCGGTTGGAAAACGTGCCCAAACTCCCCAAAATACTGATATGTTGAGAGCTACCCGAAAAGTAAACCGATACTGGCAATCTTTAGGATGGAGATTTGGTAACCCAACAAGAACACAAAGTGCTAAATTTCGTTGGAAATTTAGGGGCTAGCTTTACGTGGGGTCTACCAGAAAAATGCTCCGATATTGGAAAACGTACCCAAACTTTCCAAAATACCGAAATGTTGAGGATACCTTTATATGAGGGCTACCTGAAAAAGTGAACCGATACTGATAATTTTTAGGATGGAGATTTGGTACCCAACAAGAACACAAAGTGCAAAATCGATTCAAAAACCCGCTCAAAAAGCTCAAAATTCTGAAAAATTTTGGGAACTTTTATATGTGGGCTACCCGAAAAAATGTCCCGATATTCACAATTTTTAGTTCGGAGATTTGGTACGCAATAAGAACACAAAGTGCCAAATTGCAGTGAATTCGGTTGAAAAACGTGCCCAAATCCCCCAAAATACCGACATTTTGTGGGGTACCTTTATAGGGGGTATACCTGAAAAAATGCTCCGATATTCATTAAACATTTTTATTGTGGAAATTTGGTACCCAATAAAAATCCTACGTGCCAAATTAGAGCAAATTCTGTCAAAAAACGCGCAAAAATACCGACATTTTGGGGGTTCCTTTATATGGGGGCTACACGAAATTATAGATAACGAAATATTACCTTTAGTTATAAATTCATTTATATATGAAAAACATGTTAATTATTTATTTATATATGTATTTTTTCTTTTCACCCCACCAGGATACTGAATTCATTTCAATATTCAATGACGCTCGAACCATAGTCAATCAATTGAGTCCAAAATTTACGCATCTCGTTGAAGCTTTACTCTCTCAGCAATGGACAAATAGATCTCAGGAGACACGTAAAGCATATAGTGAATTTTGTCTTGATATACTGGTAGCTCATAATAAATATCTACAATTTGGTATAAATAAATTAATCAATCATTGGATACCACAAGAAAATGATATAGGCCTATGGCTAAATGGTGAACCTACACCCGAATTAGACAATGGATTGCAGGCAATTCATCAGCTATTGGAACGTATTCTAAATGCAATACCAATGGCATTTGATGCCACTCTAGATGCAATTGAACATTCTTTTCCGTACTATAAGAAAGCGACACATATTGTTGTTGGTTATGTTCATAATATATTGCAATTATTGAAATATAAGCCAATATTTGGTGAATATATTATACAATTGTTAATGCAAAAGTAAGTAAAAACAAATTCAAATATATTTTGTTGAAAAAACAATTCTAACAAAATTTTTTTTTTGCCTTACAGTTTAGTTATACTGGATGTCCATGCGCCACGCGCAGCCATTGAAGAATTGGAAAGTGATGATGAGGATGATGACGAGGATGAAGATAATGAACAGGAAATGTTTGAAATGGATGACTGTCGTAAAAGTTAGTATTATTTATTTGTATACTAAAAATGGTTTTAATCAATTTTGAAATCTCTTATATTTCAGAACCAAATAGCGACCGACCCATGAATCATCCCATAGCCCATACCTTAGATATATGCATGATGAAAATATTTAATTTTTTGGATTTGAAAAGTCCCCAAAACTCAGCCACCCAACAGCAACAACAAAACGAAATGGAACGCCAACAAAAGACTGTAGAATCAATAAAATTTTTACGTCTACTTATAAAAGCTTTTGACAATGTTATATTACCCATACACAATACGCATCATGCTCAATTTATGTTATTCTATTTTTGTAGTTTAAAGGTATGTTGACCACCTTCAATTTATTATTTATAGAATATATTTTATTAATACTAATATTATTCATTCATTTTTTCTTTTAGCAATGCCTTGGTGAACAATTCTTAACATCGCTTTGGGATAAAATAAAAAATCCTAATTGTTCGGCGGTAATAAGACAAGCCTCAGTGGGTTATATGGCCAGTTTTTTGGCACGTTCCAAATTCATAAATATTAAGTAAGTCAAAATAGTTTTCAAACCCTTTTATTTTATACTAATGCAATTTTCTTTTGTAGTATCTTAAAACATTATCTCAAGGAATTATGTTCATGGGCCCATAAATATATACGTGACTGTGATCAGTATCGTTCAAATGGTTCCTTAAAGGCTAATCTAGTATTTTTCTCCGTTTGCCAAGCTATATTCTATGTGATAGCATTTCGTTCACGCGATTTAACTGTCGATAAAAAGAGTAAGTTTCCTTTTTCTTTCCATAATTTTGTTCTTCATTAACCAAAAATTTGTTTTTTGTTTTCCCTGCATTTTAGGTTTATTATTTTTACAAAGTTTACATTTATCCGCCTTGGTGACCTGCAATTTTAATCCATTACGTGTTTGTTTACCGGCCGTGGCCACAGCATTTGCTGGCGTAACAAGGGCCTATCAATTGGCATATTGCCATACAATTTTAGAACGCAATGCACGTCGTAAATTGGCTACAGTTTATGCCAATGATACAGCAACACCGGAAGAGACATTAGATACATTTTTCCCCTTCGATCCGTATCTATTGAAAATGTAAGTTTTTTTAATAATTCATTAAAAAATCGACGCATAACCAATATTTTAAAAAATATTTTTTTAAAAATGTCAAACATTGATAATATTTTAAAAAAATATGTCTTAAGAAATCTACCCATTAATAAATATTTGAAAAAAATATATATTACGAAATTTTTGAAAATATATTTTTTATTGATAATATTTAAAAAAATTATTTCTAGAAATACAAATCGTGGATGCTTAAAAATGTTTTTTTAAATCAGCGTTCAAATATTTTTTGAAAACACTTTTAAAAATATTTTAAGCTTCCGCATATTGAATTTTTAGAAATAAAATTTTTTAAGTTTTTTTTAATATTATCAATGGGTAGATTTCTAAAAAAACATATTTGATTTAAGATTTTTTTTTTCAAATAATATCAATGCTTAAAATTTTAAAAAATTATATTTCTAAATATTTGTTATGTGTGGATTTTTTAATATATTTTTTATATATTTTTCTAATATTACGCGTGAAACTAAAATAAATATTTAAAATATTATCAAACCTTAAAAAAGAATTTGAATTTTTTTTATTATTCACCCCTATTCCGTATGTCGTCGTCGTTGTCGACGACGTTTCTCTTTCGACATCACTTCGCATCGACATCGACATTTTGATTTGGTAATAACACTCATGCGACGATGTCGACTATTTATCGATAATATCAATAAAAACAACAAAATTTGTTGCATATTTTTGGGCAAAAATGTGTTTGTATCCTTCACCGCACTGTGGCACAGACTAAATGTGTTTGCAACGACCAAAAAGAAACGAGATAGACCCATAGTTACTTTTTATTATATATGTACATAGAATTATTTTTCAGTCGATTTATGCATGTCCCTCCATCCATGTATTATTTTAAACAAGTTACATGCCACCATTATGATCCGAACGGGATGAAATTTAGAAAAGTGCATCCAATTGGGATTTTATTGGCGCATAGACGAATTATATATAGATCCCATATATTTTTCTTTATTTACACTTTATTTTGCATTAAGTATTGAATAGATTCTAGAATGATGTATCCTGTTCTTGTCCGGTCAAGTTTTTTTTTTAATTTCTAAAAAAAAAATGTTCAAACGCTTCAGTCGTCAACAAAAGCTATGACGAAGAAATCTTCGACATCGTCGTCGTCACACATTGATACCAAAAATGTTTCAATAGTTATCGATAAATGTCGACAACGACATAGGGAATACCAATTTGCAAAAGACGACTCTCTTCGACGTCGTTTCGTGTCGACGACGACATACGGAATAGGGGTGATTATTGCGAGATTTTTTTTAATATTATCAGTGCGTAGATTTAAAAAAATATATTTTTCAAATATTATCAATGCGCGGATTTTTTAAATTATTTTTGTCAAATATTAGCAAAGTGAAAATTAAAAAAAAATCCAATTGTTATAAAATCGGGGATTTTTTTTTAAATATAAAAATTATTGTTTCTGCAAATATATATTTTTTCAAAAATCAATGTATGATTTTTTAAATATTTTTTCAAATATAAAAAATATTTTTTCAAATATCAAGGCCTGGATTTAAAAAAAATATTTTCAAATATAGATTTTTTTCAATTATTTCAAAAGAAACAAATTAAATTAGGTTTTTTAATTTTTTAAGGTGTGGATATATATAAAAAACTTTATTTAGAAATATGATTTTTTTAAATTGTTTTTTCAAAGTGTAGATTATAAATTAAAAAAAAAATAAGGCGTGCATATTTTAAAAAATTACAAATAAACTTTTTTCAAAACGTTGATTATTTAAAATTTCTTTTCAATTGATTTTTATAATGCTTTAAAAAAATGTTTTTGTTTAATGTCTGCATTTTTTTAAATATATTTTTGGTGCGTATATAAAAAAGCAACATGTATTTAAAAATAATATCTTTTTTAATTCGCGTAATTGAAAAATATATATGTGCCAATAATTTTTTTGAGGCATGACTTGATGATTTGTTTCTTATTTTTCATAAAAAAATTTATTTGGTTTTTCTTCCGCAGGTCTGGTCAACGTATTACCCCTATTTATTTAGTTTATCAAGCAAGTGAAGCCGAAGAACATGTTACTGCAGAATCGATGTCATCGCACCACACTGCTGGTGGTGCTGCTACAAATTCAAGAAAACGTGGTGATTCCGAAATGTTGGACGATCATGAAGTTGATGATTTCATTTTAAGTGATAAACGACAAAGACTAACTAGTTTCTCAAAGACTCATGATAGGGAAAATCAATTTACATATGGTTTGTCACCTGGATTCCATATTTAAAGGAAAATTCAAAAAATTTTCTAAGATTAATTCCTAGATTCCATAACAAAAATTTGAAATGAATTAAAAAAATTGGAATGCAACAAATGAGAATCAAAAAATGTAGATATTTACCTAAAATGTAGCATATATAGGTAACTGTAGATATATTGTATTGATACCTACAAAACAAAAGTTGTAGCTTTTATTTATGATTATTATTTTTTTGTATGGATATTTTATTATTATTTTTTTTTAATACAATAACAAAAAAAAAAAAAACAAAAAATAAAACAAGTGAATATTCAATATTTTTATGTTTGATAAAAAGAGAGAAAAAAATAAAACAATAAATACAAAAAAAAAATGAAATGAAATTCAATAAAAATAAACACAAATAATTTATACATAATGTTTTTTTGATCTCTGATGGGCCAACAAATGACCAGATGTGCGAAACGTTTGCTCACACAACTCATAGCCACACTTGAAGGGTCTTTGTTCGGTGTGTATGCGTAAATGTACATTTAGCGATTTCTTATTTGCATATAATTTACCGCAGACTTGACATGTCACCTTCACTACTGCTGCTGCAGCAGCTGCAGCTGCACCATTATCATGTGTAAGGGAGTGTTGTGTCAGGGATTGAGATTTTTTAAAAGCCTTTGGACAAATCTCACACTTAAACGGCCGATCATCATTATGAGATTCGTGGTAGTGTTTTTTTAAATACGATTTATATTGAAAATGTTTCCAACATATAGTACAGCTATATTGCAATTTTTTATTCTTTTGTGTGTTGTTCTGTGATAGATTCGTTGTAGTCGAACTTTTGGTGGGAATTAGAATTTCACTTTGTATTATTTGTTCTTCTTCTTCATTTCCCGTTTTTATAATTGTTGTTACAGTTTGAGGCCGATTATTATTTTGTTCATTGGTTTCAATTAACTGTTTCAAATGGGTCATCATATGGCTACGACAATATTGTTTGGTTTTGAAAAGTTGATCACAATATCGACATTTGTATTTTTTATCACTGCAATGTGCGGTTTGTTGATGACGTTTTAATTCGTATTTTCTGCGGAAGGTCTTCGGGCACTGATTGCATTTAAATGTTCGAATATTTAAATGTATTTTGGCATGGATTTTTAAAGATGTTTTGGTGGCATAGTTTCTGTGAGAAGGTGAAAAATATTGGATTAGAAATGGTACGGAAAGGAAAAAAATAAAAACAGAAAAAAACGCGAGAAACAGATGTTTTAAATATTCAAAATACCGAATAATGAAGCTACCGTTATATGGGCCTATACCAAAACCGGGATCGATATTAGTTAATGTCGATAGTGAGGTAGGTGTCAAACCAATGAGAATACAAAATACTAAATAAAAGCCAATTCCGTTGTAAAATATGTTCAAAATACCCAAAATACCGAATATTATGGGTAACTGTAATATGGGAGCTATCCTGAAATTTGGGTCAATATAATTATTATTTCTAGTACGGAGATGTGTTATACATACAATGAGAGGGTATATGGGCAATATTGCCAATTTTTTAACATAGCTGAAGCGGAGGTTCACCCCTTTATAACTCGGGAACTACTTAAGTATATGAATAAAAGTGAATAGTTTTGGGTTAATTGGTCTGTCGTTGCAAACTGTTTATGATATTGACCTCCAAACTTTATTTTGGTGGAACCTGTGTCTACTTTAATGTCAAAAAATGTGTAAAAACAGGTTGAGGCGAACCAGTTTTTTTATGTTCCCTATCGATTTGTGATTAAGCCACTCATTTTACGGTCTTCGTTTCAAAGTAAAACTAGAAGCCAAATTGGGGACTAAGGGGCGTATCATTTTTCAAAATTTTAACTGAATCTACCTTTAAATGATGCTGACATTTTGAAGCTCGATTTTGAGTGTTTTTTTAATTTTACTTCTAGCTTTAATACGCAAACAGGAATTTATAAAAACCGATTATAAGATTATTGTAGTGGCGAATCTGCGTAATTTGATATGTATTTTGTGTATGTAGTATACACAGCTTCAGAGTAATACTCATCCGATGGTGAAAATTTTGTGCGATCAAATTTCTAAAAAACCTATTTTTCGGGCCAAATTTTTAAATCTGTCAACTGAATGGGTACCCGCGATCAAAAAGGTTTTTTACGTTTCGGATGATATAAAATCTTCTTCGTGAAAATCCATCTACTAGAACGGCGGGAACTGGCCTTCCAAAAACACGAAAATTGGCAAAAAATGTTATGAAAATATCGCGGATTTATTTGCGTTTTCTGTGTATGATTTCCGCTTCAATAAATGACATCATACGAATTTTGATCTTTTTCGCAAAGAGAACTTTAAAAACATCAGCCGAAAGAGAGATGTACCCAATTTATCTCAAAAATAGTGTAAGGTGGCACATCCATGGTTCTTAATGGACGACATTGAAATCGGTATAGATCGATGTATTTTTTTAGGGTGCACACCGAAATCGGATGCGCGTTAATGGCATATGGAGTTTTCGGAAATTATTCGCGTTTTACGATTTTTTGGGTACTTCAATGCAACGTGTGGCACATCTTAGCCGTCAAATGAAATTTCGCAAAATATATATGGATAGGAAGATAAACTTCAGTACTTCCTGTAAACCGCATGCGCATCAAATGATTTTGAGACTTACGCGATTTAGACGCAATATAAAATGTATATTTCATAATGTTATTTTATTTTAAGATTTATTCCTATTTTTAGAACACTAATATTTATCAGAAGGGTCTTGATATAATCCGCAAGGCGTATACACAAACGTGATTTTTGTTATATATGTCAATTTTTCTCCGAAATTCGAGTAAAATCGCAGGATAGCCCCAACATTTTTTCTGAAATTTCTTGTATAAAATAAGAAAAATAAATATGATGACATTATTTTTTCGAACCAAAAACAAATATTTTCCCTCAATATCTTGTTTTGTTGTCGCTGTAATTTACAAACTGCTACACGGACTTGTGTGATTTTGATATCATTTGATTCATCATGGTGTTTAGATCATGTAGATATTTTTAAATTAATTTTTAGGTGTGTGTATGTCATTAATATAATGAAAATATTGATGTAATCTGCTATATTTTTTATTTTTCTTATATTTCACGAAGATGTGCAACTTTATTGCGATTATTATCATATATTCATATTCTTATTTTACGGAGGAAGATCTATATCAACGTTTTTGGTCAATATAATAAACGGCGTAATTTTAAGATTTTTTCTTATGCCCAAAATTAAAACCTCGATAACTTTTGCGCGCATCAAACAAAAATTTGTTTGCGAACTGTTTCGGAGTAAGAACATTTTTCTCTATATGTGTACCAAAAATCATTGTGTGCCACAAAAACAAAAAAGTTGATTTTTTGAAAATGGAATATTGAAAAATTGGCAATATTGCCCATATATACAATTAGAGGGTACCGTTATATGAGAGCTACCCTGGAATTTGGGTCAATATTAATAATTTTTAGTTCGGAGATGCGTTATACAATGAGAACCCAAAATACCAAATTACTGCCAAATCGGTTGAAATACTTCTCCGAAATCGCCAAAATATCGAATATTGGGGGTATCGTTATATGGTGGCTACCCTGCAACATGGGTCAATTATTGGAATTATTAGGCCGAGGACATTTCACAGCAATTCGATTTTATTGAATGATAGAAAATCAAAAATATTTCCAATGAATATACATTTTCTTATCAATGCCAACCAGAAACAAAACATAAATAATTTACAAAGTATAAAATTGAACGCAAATCCAACACTCCTCCTCGTTCATTTTATATGACACTTCAAACGTAGAAATTCGTGTTTGGTTATTGGTAAAGGCTTTGTTAAAATGTCCGCAATCATATCCTCAGTTGGACAGTACTTGCAAGTTATTATATTATTTTTCACCAATTCCTTTGTAAATTTGTATTTAATATCCATATGTTTTGTTCGGAATGAAAATTTGTCATCGGTAAGAATTCGAAGGCAACTTTGATTATCATTGAATATAATAGTAGATTTGGTAGGAGTTTCATCAAGATCTTGTAGCAATTGTCGCAACCATTTAGTTTCTTTTCCGGCTTCAGACATAGAAATGTATTCAGACTCACAGGTTGAAGTAGCCACAATGGATTGTTTTTGGCATGTCCATGATATTGTTCCTCCATTATAAAAGAATATGCGGCCACTTGTTGACTTTCTCTCCATTTGATCGTCTGCCCACGATGCATCAGCATATCCAATTAATTCCAAATTCACCTTTTGAATATTACTCAAGTTTAATTTCAAGCTTTCAGTGTGCACTAGGTATTTTACTATACGTTTACTTTGTTTCCAATCCTCTTCAGACGGGTTCGAAACCTTTTGTGACAACAAACAAACCACTGCAGATATGTCAGGCCTCGAGTTAACGGATACATAAAGTAAATGACCAATAAGTTTTCGATATTTTACATTATCTTCCAACAAGTTTGAATTGTTTTTCTTTCCATAACTGATATCCATAGGAGATTTTGATAACTTGCAGTTTCCTAAGCCAAACTCATCTGCTAACTTCTTGATATATTGTGACTGACAAATTTGATAGTTTCCGTATGGGTCTTTTGTTATTTGAATTCCCAAGTAACTTTTTATATTTCCCAAGTTCTTCATAATAAAACAGTCAGATAACAATTTTTCTATACATTGTATCTGCTCAAGTGTTGAACAGGCCAAAATAATATCATCAACATATATGATAATATAGCATATTTTGTTTAATATGTTTCCAGAATAAAGACAGGGGTCACTAACGCTTGCCTTTTGCAAAGTTTCATTCAATAAATTATTCCACGATCTTGAAGATTGCTTCAACCCATATATGGCCTTCTTTAGTAAACAAACATTTTTATCATTTCCATCTTCAAAACCTTTCGGTTGTACCATGTAGATTGTTTCTTCTAACTTTCCATTGAGAAATGCTGTTTTGGCATCTATATGTTG